TCCCTCCTCTCTCTCTCTCTCTCTCTCTCTCTCTCTCTCTCTCTCTCTCTCCTCTCATCATGATGGCATCTATGAGCAATGGAATGCGAAATAATATCGCTCTTATGCCACGATGCGTTTCGCATGCATTTCAGGGTAGAACAATGCGAGCTCTTCATCGAAAGCCGCGCACGTTTGTTTCCGTAATCGGAAAATATTGCCGAGCCTTCGTTAAACGCTCGGCCATAAATCTCGCACGATGGTCGTCTGATAATCCATCAAATATTTGCGTTAAGAAGACATTATTACGGCAATTTAACGTATGATTCTACTGATAAACATATCTATTTCTGTCTCATAGAACGGCTGAATGAATTCAAACGAAAAATAAAAATTATCCAATTGGCAAAATGATGTATTTTAAATTATGTATAAAATTTAATATGAAACTAAATTATAAATATAATAAAAATTATATAATTTAATATAAAACTATCAGCGAGTCATTTCAATATTTTTCATAGAATAAATGTTTTAATATAATTTACACTATCAAAAAAATTCAGGATATTAATGCATTTCAAAAAAGTCATCTGATCAAATAAAAATCCATCCTCCCTCCTCCCTCGCCCTGTTATAGAGTAGAATTACGTCAACTGATAGCGACGAAAAATGATCTATATCTTACCTTACAGGAGGTGTGACATGTCAAGTCGTGGTTTGTACATGCGGGCGTCGAATATCTGTAAGACAGAGACAGAGCCGGTTAAAATCAAAAGTGCAACGAGAGAAATAATAAAGAGATAACTAGGCAGAAACGATGGCAGTGTCGGGGTCATGGCGGGGTCAATGAATAATATCCGACTTGTATACCGATCGTGCTTCGCGCGAACTTTACTACCTACTCGTTCCGCGAATCCTCATCTGATTTATGCAACACCAATACGCGCGCGACGGAGAAGGAGCTTTCCTCGGAATTTATGCTCGGCTTAAATTTCAGACGTGCTCGATTCAAAGCAGCTCGATCCGAACGCTAAGTCGACCGAGGGATTCGATTTGGAACTAATCACGAAGGCGCCACTACCTCGCACGCTCGTGAATTCACGTGAACGAAATACTAAATATCAGATCTCAAAGTTAAGTAACCGTGAAAGAAATATTTCTGACATTTGCGTTTTATTTCTTAATTAGTACGACGTCCAGTATAATAAGTCCGAGCGGCTTTGTGAAATAAAATAAGAAATTAAAAGAGGTAATTAAAGAGCAACGTAATAGGAAGTTTGCGCGCGTAGTTCAGAGAAGTAATTAAAATATATTTTTAAAAGTCTAATTTTTTCCGACGGTAACGAGAAAGAAAGAAGAAAAAGAAAAAAATAAATTGGAAGATGTTCCCTCCAACTAATCGCGATCGCACGTGAAACACCGCCACGTTGCTTACGGGGACTAACGAGACATTTCGGCAAGAACGGCAAGAATGTTATGTGAAATAACAAGATGAAAGGGAATTAACGGCGGCGCGGCGGGGGAGGGGGCGGGGGACGGGCGGAAAGAACGAACGGATCGCATTGAATGATGTATGCGTTTCGTGACTAGGATCATCGTAGATCTCTTCCCCTTGCGGCCTGCCACGCCCGGCTCGCGACAGAATTTAAAGCTTCTATTTATAAAGAGTGAACGAACGCGATGGCAGCCCCGACACGACGCATCGGGTCAGAATGCACGCACTCGTGCACGCGATACGCACGCGGCTCCCGAGGTATTCCGTACTGT